GAGTATTTTGAGCTGAAACTTCACAGACACATTCTGGGGACACCAGAGACTTATATTACATATTGTAAAAATGGGCATAATATGTCTCCTTTAAATAATTAAACATAAAATAAAAAATGTAATACAAATATTATGAAATAATAAGTATTTAATAATTCATTGTTTTTATTCTGTTTATTATATTGTATATACATATAGATGGGGATAATTTTCTGTGGGTTTGGGTCAGTTTATGTTCTGGGCCACTAAACTGTTCTGTAAAAGCCTTTGACTTGCGACCTCCAAACCAAAAATGAGACATTTTTGTACAACATAATCACCGCTGAAATTTTGTTCGGCAGAAGTGTACTACAGCTATTCATGACACTAAAAACATGTCAAATAACCCTCTATGCCAGGGTTTTTTTTTTTTTTTTTTGATGGTTGGGGGGGGGCCTGTAAAAATGGGCATAATATGTCTCCTTTAAATAATTAAACATAAAATAAAAAATGTAATACAAATATTATGAAATAATAAGTATTTAATAATTCATTGTTTTTATTCTGTTTATTATATTGTATATACATATAGATGGGGATAATTTTCTGTGGGTTTGGGTCAGTTTATGTTCTGGGCCACTAAACTGTTCTGTAAAAGCCTTTGACTTGCGACCTCCAAACCAAAAATGAGACATTTTTGTACAACATAATCACCGCTGAAATTTTGTTCGGCAGAAGTGTACTACAGCTATTCATGACACTAAAAACATGTCAAATAACCCTCTATGCCAGGGTTTTTTTTTTTTTTTTTAGATGGTTGGTGTGGTGCATCTACCCAAACCTAGGTAGAGAGCATCTGGCTTACTGATTGGCCGAATTAGGTCATGTGTTTGGAAATCTGGCTGACTGTCTATCATCTGTCTGCCTGTCTATCTATCTAAAAGTATCTCTAAAATAAGATTGTATTTTATTGGACATGGCAACCCTGTAAATAGTGTGGAAGGCAGGTGTCGATTAGATAATAAGACTAAATTTAAAATGAATACTTTCTTTATAGTGTCCACTAGATGTCTCTCTCCACCATTGCATATTCCAGTTGGTAACAATTGCACCGAATAAGACATTGAAGTTTTGAAACACAGCCAAGCACTCATTTTATTTCAGGTTGTGTGCCATAGTGGGGCTTGGCAGCATGACACAGGACTTATTATGCAATTGCAAGGTTATAGCATATCCTTATGCCACAGTAGCAACAATGTTTATGGATGAAGTCAGTCTAAATCAGGGGTGTCAAACTCAGTTCCTGGAGGGCCGCAGCCCTGAAGAGTTTAGTTCCAACCCTGCTCCAACACACATACCATGTAGTTTTCAAATAAGTCGGACCTGATTAGCTGGATCAGGTGTGTTTAATTAGGGTTGGAGCTAAACTCTTGCCTTGTCCAAATACACACACTTGTGGTCTTTGCACTTGACCACTTGACTACTTATATGACGTATTTCCTGTATTTGGCCCAAGTGTTCGAGTGAGCGTGAAGACCACAAGTGTGTGTACAACTTTTCATTACCTGATGGGACAGACTTATAGTGTTGTAAAAACGCAAAGTGTTTACAGAGTTTTATTATTATTTTCAATACTTTGCAATTTAAAATCAACTTCTAAATGTCTGTTCAGTAGTCCCTATAGATGATATATATATATATATATATATATATATATACGGTATATATATAGGCGATATATGTATATACGCAAAGGTTTTGTGATCAAATTAAACGTTTTGCGACCGAACTAAAAGTTTCTCAGCGAAACGCATAAGTTTTGTGACCGAATGCAAAGTTTCTCGGGCGAACGCAAAGCTTTAGCGAGAGAACGCAAAAGCGTTGGAATATAATTTCCCCTCCTATCTTATACTTTCATCACCGTGTAGGGGCCTCGTACCATGATCCTTGGGAATCAAACCCATGGTCTTGGTGTTGCTACATTTTGAGAAAGAAAGAGAGGTCTTAGATTGTTATATTTGCACATGTTTGGACCCTTTGCTATTTTGTGCCCCATTGGACTGATAACTTCTAATCACCGAAACATACAATCGAAACAGCTTCAACATTTGCACATCAATAAGGAAGGTGTTATGGTATTGATCACTTAGGAGGACATCTGGGCACATCAATCAATCAGAGAATGTCACTTAATCGTTAATCAAATAATGATCACTGTGATAAAATCACGCAACTATGAGAGAAATAGGGAAGAGACTGACTGACAAAGACAAAATGTCAGTTTTTTTAATTAGTATAGCTTGCATGAAGACTGGATGGCCTGAATTTCAATTTGGAGTGCTTATAAAATCAGATTATTCTATCATGCGCCAGAGTCACATATGGGATGGAGCCAAAGAAGAGCTATTTGGACCTTTGGACAATGGTAAACACACCAGGCACTGTTGGGTCTTAATGGTAGTGTTATATACTTTTGTATAAATTGTTAGTGTCAGTGATAAGTTTAGATTCATGGTTTTTTACAACCTTCAGAAAATAAAGATTAACTTTATCCATGACCTACATTCACATGGCAAACAACCACGCTCAATAGATTAAAGATTACCCTGCTGCGTCACCTCCACCTGAATGAAGATAGCCTAACATTTACAAGTCTTGAAATAAAAGAGAATATAAACTACAACCATTACTACACCCAAGAGGATGTCACTTTAAAGCTGCAGTCCGTAAGTTTTGCCTCTTTGTCGCCATCTCTGTTTGAAAACCTGGAATTGCAGCTGTGTGCGGAATTATCTAGCTAGCATGGGTTGTGAGTCGGCACGGCTCCAGCACGGATGAATCTAATGTTCTGAAGAGTATGTGTGGCAGTCAGTCACCGCACCGGTGTGGATATTTAACGTTACTGTACTTCGCAATCACAGATTCTAGCCTACTTGGAATATGACCCAAATAAGAATTTTCACCATATATTGCCATCTGAACAAGTAACAAATCTGCCACGTACGTTTGTTCTGACCAACTGAGGAAAAAAGCATTACCATAAATCTCGCTACCAATGGTGATTAAATCTAAAGATCGGTTAGTTCATATCACATCAAACCATTCAAATTATTATTATTGTTATACTTTATTCTCAAATGATTAATGACTCCTTCTTTATGTTTACAGACGTGACATAATGACGCAGTGCCATGCTCGAATTTCCCGCGAAAACCTACCCTTACCACTCAAATTAAACATTATTATAAGCTAACAGCTGTGAATCAGGCTAAAGTAAGGCGATAGTTTTGAACACTGGCTGGTTATGTACTTGCTCAAATATTGATTTCGGATCATTTTTAACCAAAAAAAGTTATGGACTGCAGCTTTAACAAAAACACATTAATAAGCAGTAGATATTCACACGCGAGTGCGATACAATTTGCACCGACAGGGGTCCACGGCTTCTAAATCTCTTCCAGTGATGATTGGTCGACACAAAAATGTGCGGCTCGGTTATTGGCTGGGGTGTGGAATATGCAAATAAGCGGCAAGAGGCTTTATTAAAGGACTCGCAGTGTGCGCAGCGTGGGCTGGGTGTGTCGGCACAGCACAGTGGACAAGCTATAGTTCTGGGGGTGAACTGCTAAAATAACGAATTTTACATTACAATCAGCGCTCTGGAATTGCTTACAAATCCTGTATCTCCTGTAATGTGCTTTGCTCAAGAGACCACTTTAAACTTTCTCCACAAGGTAAGAGCGTTATTTAAACCAATAAGTTTTAAAAATGCAAAGGGTTTTCTGATGCCTCTATTAGGCATTATATTAAAGATTTTTAAAAACAAAATCAACCTCTCTGTAATTATTTTACTTATCTTTTTTATGTAAATCCAGATTTAAGTTTTAATGGCAATCTTTGTTTTGTCACGTGTCATTCTAACAAAAATTTAAGTTCGCACATTTTATCATGTGAAAACCAACCATAAAAAACTTTTGTAGTTAGTACTGAAATGTTTGAAACCCTAGCACATATATTTACATGTATAATCAAGCAGAGCCCTGCAACCTTATGTTTTTACTTCCTGTGGGGAGTTCAAGGGCCGCTGTCACAATCATTTGTCATTTTCACTCATGTCTAATTTGTATTGTGTTGTTTCATAAAGGCTATATCATTTTATAGCAGAATATCTTAAGAACCATTTTAAAGACATTGTACTCACACATCTGGGTTGTCTTTTGTCTGTATGTGTTTAGAGTTCTTCATCTCCTCAGTCCCCCAATGCCGGGTCCAGTTATGCCTGTGGATGTGGCCGTGCAGCTGTACATCACCCATTCTCCCCCACTGCACAGCTTCCTGAGCTCTTATGAAGACTACAGGAAACGCAACCTGGTCAACACCTGCTACAAACCCCTGCGGCCCTGCTTGAGCTCCAGAACCCACCTGGAGCCCCCTCGTCTGGGCTGGCAGACCCCAAAATCCAAGGCCAAAAAGAAGGTTGTGTTTGCTGACTCAAAGGGTATGTCATTAACAGCGGTGCATGTCTTCTCAACTTTTGATAACAGAGAACCTGCTACATCCGAACTGCAGTTTGACCTGGAAGACCTAGAGAACATCACAGTCACTCTTCATATAAATTCAGTCCAGAGCAGAATTCTAGACTTTCCACAGCCAACGGCAGACTACCTAGATTTCCGTAGCAGGTTGCTGAAAAACTTTGTTTGTTTGGAGAACTGTACCCTTCAGGAGCGGGCCCTCACTGGCACCATCAGAGTGCGTAACCTGGCCTACGAGAAGTTGGTTCATGTGCGGATCACTTTCGACACATGGAAGAGCTTCCATGATGTGGAATGCACGTTTATGAATAATGTCTATGGTTGTCAGGATACAGACACATTCTCATTTGCTATTGAACTGCCTGGGTATGTGCCCCCTCAGAATAAGGTCGAATTTTGCATTAGCTACAGAACTGGAGAGCAGACCCACTGGGACAACAACGATGGCAGAAACTATGGACTAGTTTCAACATCTTGGCAACAAAACAATATATGGAATTCCTCAAACCAGGGAAAGAAACCAAATGAATCCAGGAAGTTAGGCAAGAAAACACTAGACAAGGAAATTTATAAAAGTAAAAGTCCGCTCCAGTCCAATAGCATTTTTCCAAACTGGCAGAGTTGGGGGCACATTGCAACCAGTGGCCCCTATTGGTGACTTGAGCTCACATAATTAACTATCCAAATGTGTTGAAAGGTTTTAGCAACAATAAATCTCTCCGTATGACAACAGAAGAAGATTAATGTTCTCTTAAAAGCTCTTAATATGATATACCTGCTGATTACTTTACAAGCAGACCTAGATCAGCTGTCTATTAGCGGACTAAAGAGGGAAGAGAGGCTGGTTGAAACGGTCACATAGAGTGAACCTTGTTTATTTAGATGGAACATGTTGCTACAGTGCAATACTTGTTTTATTCTTTTGTTAAGTAAAACGTGTGATGACTCCTTTCCTATAGAGCTAGACACGTCTGTAAACAAGAACACTAGGGGGTCTGGAGTAAACACTATGTAACATCTTTGTCGATCCAGGGTATAAAATTGTGGCATTGTGTGCCACATTTGCAGACTGTGCACTATAAAAAATGATACCAAGTGAAAATCAAGTCTAAATATATGAGGATATTTGTATCTAATGCATATGTCTCACTAGCCAATTTTCAGCCGATTTCCAGTTGAAGATTCTTTTATGGAAGAGATGAACAGTTGGTATGCAACCAGTGAGATTGTCCTTCATATTGAAGGGGGTAACCTTTACTGGTTACAAACTTTCAGAAGGAAAAAAGAAAAAATATATATTTATCATATTTAATAGGTACTCTGATTAAATCAGCATTGAAATAAATTTGGTTTTGATCATTTTGTTTATCGAGTTTTTATCTGCAAGATGCACATATGTTTAGGTGTCTCTTTTTTTTTTATTCATGTTGGATGTGTTAGAAATTTAATGTGCTGAATTTAATGCAACTGAATGCAATAAGCTAAACAAATGCCGTGATAATGGTTTCTGTGCCTTAGGATCTCAGCAAATGTCATTGTAAAGTAAGTAGTCTTTTGTTGGATAATTTTTATGTTTTAAGTGCAATTCAGTGAATATGAGTGGAATTTGTTGTGATGTCATGTTTGAATCAGATGTGAAGATAAAGAATGGTTGTATTTTATTAAAGAAAGAATGGATGTCTTGGTAAATGAGTATGTATTTGGTGTGATTTTTCTAAAATAAAAATTCAAATTTTCAGATTCTTTTTCTCAATAACTTCAGTCAGACTAAGTAAGGATATGTCTGATCTGTCCAGTGTAGACTTTACTTACTTGCCAAAGTGACAACATTATTGTGTCAATTAAGCTGGTATCATAAAAAGTTTTGGGACAAAACACAAGTGATAGTTCGAGTTTCTTTGCTCTTGTAGAGTTATAAGCAAATTGACTGCTAAGTTAACTAAAGTATTCAAGTTAAACACTCAAGCACCTGAAAAATTAGAATAATAATGCAGATTTCTGAGAAGAGACTGGTCAAGTTGATGCAGTATAACCTGACACCTGGGCTTTATGAATATATCCATGTAAATCAATGTAAATTGTAAATTGCTTTTATCATAAAAAGCTGTCTTTAAAATTGTAATGCAGTTTCACTTGAAGCAGCCAGAGGTTCAATGTTAGCTCAGGGTCTTCTTCACTCAGTGAGGAATGTAGAGCTACGTTTTCGACTTTCTTACTTTTCTGAAATGTTTAAAAGCTCTCACATCTATGAAACAACTCTTTAACACATTAGTAGAAAGCAGATTTAGACACAACAAGACCTCTGATAACCCTGGATATGAACACCCTCTGACTGATCATGTACTGAACACACAGTTCAAAAATACCTTCCTTCATGCCAAGCCTATTTTGGCTGGTCACCATTTATTAAACCAGTAAACAGAGGAACATCATGTTGATAGTAAAGGTTTCAGGTTATTCCAATAGCAGTTGCAGTGTACACACCGTGACAACCTTAAATAGCCAGTTATAAATATAAAACACCCCTAAAAGTAGTATGAGGTAAGAAAGTTCGAAGTAACATGACATGCCTCTGCAGGGCAATTGAATTAGGCAAAAGCAAAGCTCCACAACTTTTTACGACTTTCAAAAATAGGAAGAAAAAAATAGAGAGATTGATAATAGCAGTCAGAAGAACAAACAATGTCAAATTTAGTCACTCCCACAGTTGCTGTATTAGAAACACCCTCACAGCAACTTTAACAAATTTGATGCAAAGTTATTATAATATCAAGTATAGTGTTGTAAGTTTTTTATTTTTTTTTTTAATGAAAATATAAAAACTTTGCAGGATTTACAATGCTGATGACTGTTGAAATGCATCATCACAGTCTGTGAAAAGGGTCCATTATAATTTTTGTAATTATTTTGGAAAAATCATTATTTTGGAATGTGTCCATCCACGAACTATTCAGCTAATTTGAAAGGAAATTCTGGAAGTAAGTCTCTTTATATCCTGAAAGATCATAACAAAGTGCATCATGAAAGATGGTAAAAAGTCACACAGGCATTTAAATGTGTGGTATATAAGGCATATGCACATCTCTTTGTATAAACACATCCACTCAAATTGCATATCAAGTGGCCGGCAAGAATTTTGCGCCTCTTCCCTCATTCTTGTGTGCCCAAAACCCAAAGATAGGCCCAAAGTAATCATTTTTATGTGTTTGTCTCTGTCAGTTGGACAACATGACCTTAGAAATAGACTTTAGTGGCTCAAACTGATGATATTTCAGTTATGTGAAATACTATGGGAAATGGGAAAAGACTCTTTCCTATAACAGGCTTGCAGCTGCTTACAGAGATAATGGTTTCTTGTAGCAGAAATGTGTTTGTCATGCCAAAAACGTTCATGATTTATGAATCTGTATTTGTAAAAAAAAAAAAAAAAAAAAATTAGTATGTGCACCAGTTTTGTAAAAACTCATTTAGTGTTTCATATATTTAAACTTAATGCGCTAGACTACCTCACCTTGTCTCTGCGATCTTTTTTAGTTTCCAAACCTTCAGCCAGAGCAGGACTTTTGCCTCCATTTTTCATGATTCTAAAACTGAAGTTATGCAAACATTAGAGGGCTGAGAGAGAGAGAGCTGGTCTGGGGCAGGAGCCATAAACAGGCCTCAGAGATGGCAGGAGAACAGTGCAGCATTCACAATCTGTCAAGAACAAGTCCTCTTACTGAGTGAGGAGGGAACTGGAGCGGAGTATGGAGTGGATTTGTCCATGCAGCTGTGATTTCCTGCTCTGCAAAGCACTCTGTGACCATAAAGGGCACAGAAAATGTGTTTTTCCCCAGGTGCTGTCTTTACCAACTCAAGATTTCATTTGCTTTTTTATTTCCTGTGGACGAATTGCAAACATGTGGTTGAGGATGCATGCACTCGGTTTTGCTTGATTCAGTTTCTGTCTGTGTAAACATATGTTCTTGTGAGTTGTCTTTCATTGTTTCATTGCTATCTATGACATAGCAGTTTACATAATGCGATATCTGATAGAGTACTTTTGTAGAGCATCATTCTTCAGCTATTTTTAAAGAGGCATATACTGCAGCTGTTGACACCACTGGACACCAGTGCCAGCAGTCCATAGAAACCTATGACACAGATTTTAGACTACTCTCCTTCAAAAACAGATTCGGAATCTGCATTAGGTCAAACTGTAACAAAGCTTTCATTAATTCCAGTTCAGTGGTGGACACCACCCTGTTTACAGTTTGCTTTTGCCAGTATTTGGTCAATGAGCCATTGTTTGAGACTGGTATGAAGTCATCCAGCAGCAGAAATGGCTTGAAGACTTTGAGTTTGGTCTCTGGCAATTTACATCTCATTTTATAAGGTGCTGGTTCTGGAAAATATTATTTATTTTGTTCCATTTAGCTGAAAGAAGTCGTTTTTGCTGAAACTCCCAATCAAAGTTTGTACATATGAATATAAGTAATTTTCAAGTAGAAAATATGGACCACACATAAAACTGTTATTGGCCATTGGTGGGGGCACTAATTGGTTAATTAATTAGAATTAATTAGAATTATTGTTAGTCAACTTTTTTAATTAACGTTCTTAGTTTGAACAGGCCTTAAGACATCACAAGACTTGCCCTAACCCTGTTTTTGTCACGTTTTGAAAGTCTGTTAGATTTAGATTTGAAATATATTTCTAAAGTAGACTTTTGGAAACTTTCTGGAATGCGTTAAATCTGTATTAATGAGAACTGACTATATAAACACATTTCATTTTCACATTTACATAAACCAATGATGAACATAATGTAAAAAGTATACTTAACATTTGTCTAAAGAGTTTTTCTTTGTGAACTGAAGCTGATTCAGCAGTGAAGAACACATATTTTGTTCTGAGGACTGAAGTGAAGCCAACAGAAATGGAAGCAAATCTTATGCTCATGCACCTCAGAGATGTGCAATCTCAGAGTCACACACACACACACACACACACACACACACACACACACACACACAGGGGTAATGGGTTTCTTTCCACTCCCACAAGTCCTTCAGGGTCCTGCAATCTTTCACTGCATTACATACAGCCATATACATGAACCCAGTGAACTTAAAGGGTTAGTTCACCCGAAAATGAAAATTAGGCTGTTTTTTGGATGAACTAACCCTTTAACATACCGATGATATATTTAACCGACTTACGCAGTCTCGTTTGACCCACATACATTTGTATAAGTCAAGCCAAGTAATGCCAAGTCTAAACCTTAACCCTAAAATACCCTAAAAATATATTAATTCTGTTAGTTCTTCAATAAACTATTTTACATTTATACATTTAGAAGATCTTGACTTTTTTTTTTTTTTTTCTGAGGGGAAGCCCCCGCAAGCTGTTCTTTCTGGCTTTCCTATTCATCCGAAGGCATTTTCAGTTAATTTTGTCTAAGCAAACTTAGTGAAATCTGCCCCCACAAACTTACACAAAATTCCACTCTTGCAGAAGCTAAGCAGACACTGCAAACTATCATGATGCAATGAGCCCTAGACTTGCACATGCTATTTAAACTTACTAAAGCTCTTTAAATAACATGATTAAACTCAAACACCAGTTCTTTTATTTCTGCTCACTACTAAATATCATACACCTATATCATTTATGAATAATTTTAATATATTAAAATGGCCTGTATTATATTTATTTGAATATTTAAAATTAAGAAATGATTCTGTTCCGAAGCTGTGAGTCTGTATTGTACGTATGTATAAATCTCACTATTCCCACTTTTTAATTTTATTTTGTAAAGCTGTTTGTGAAGTAAACAAACAAGCTGCCCAATCAGGATCACCTTCTCAGTGTCACTCGCGTGACCATGACATGTCTCTGTCCACCCTATCTTCACAACTAAACAAGTTCACTGGCTGCCATGATCATGTGACCAAATATTGCATTGCTTACTGGGTGGCTTGCACACATGGAGACAGAAATAGCCATGTTGTGACATAGATGTGTGTTGGCTGTGTGTCTATACTCTCCCTGGGAAATGCCTAAATAAGATATTTGAGGAGAATTTTGATATCGTTACATGTATTGGATCAAACAACCTACTGAATACTACAATGTTTTGGTATATTCAAAGCTGCACTTTTATATTGTATTTTTTGTTTATGTTGCTTTTGGCTGATACGTGAGTCTGAACTTACATGCATAGCGGTATGAATAGCATAACACAAAAATGTATGTTTTCGATTACTCATGACACTGTAAAAATGCACTATTCAGTTAGTCATGATTCATTTACTCCACAAGCACAAGTGTCCAATAATGGTGAGTTGGTGAGGTAAAGTAAGTAGGCTGGTTGTGTGATTTCCACATGTGGCTCCCATGAGGCTCCATGTAAAACAAAACAGCTTTATTTATGCTGTTTTGAGTATACAGCATTTCTCAAAAGTACTATATGTGTATATGGCTTTAATAGAGTAAAATAGTTGGTGTTTTCAGCACCAAAGAAGGGAATTTCACACTAGCAATGTGCCTATGATTCAGGATATGAATGTCTGAGCTTCTTCCTAACTCTGAGCTGTATCAGTATCACCTTTAAAATCTGGCAGAGAACTGCACATATCATAATATACTGTATATCTCATGAGAGATCAAATAACAGACACCAGTCATTTATGTTCACACATGTGAGTATACAAATATCTGCTGAGCCATATAATAGCAACGTAA